AGAAAACAACTCTCGTGATGTCGATATAACGAGAAAATAAGGCGTTATAATGAGAAAACAACTCTCGTGATGTCGATATAACGAGAAAATAAGGCGTTATAATGAGAAAACAACTCTCGTGATGTCGATATAACGAGAAAATAAGGCGTTATAATGAGAAAACAACTCTCGTGATGTCGATATAACGAGAAAATAAGGCGTTATAATGAGAAAACAACTCTCGTGATGTCGATATAACGAGAAAATAAGGCGTTATAATGAGAAAACAACTCTCGTGATGTCGATATAACGAGAAAATAAGGCGTTATAATGAGAAAACAACTCTCGTGATGTCGATATAACGAGAAAATAAGGCGTTATAATGAGAAAACAACTCTCGTGATGTCGATATAACGAGAAAATAAGGCGTTATAATGAGAAAACAACTCTCGTGATGTCGATATAACGAGAAAATAAGGCGTTATAATGAGAAAACAACTCTCGTGATGTCGATATAACGAGAAAATAAGGCGTTATAATGAGAAAACAACTCTCGTGATGTCGATATAACGAGAAAATAAGGCGTTATAATGAGAAAACAACTCTCGTGATGTCGATATAACGAGAAAATAAGGCGTTATAATGAGAAAACAACTCTCGTGATGTCGATATAACGAGAAAATAAGGCGTTATAATGAGAAAACAACTCTCGTGATGTCGATATAACGAGAAAATAAGGCGTTATAATGAGAAAACAACTCTCGTGATGTCGATATAACGAGAAAATAAGGCGTTATAATGAGAAAACAACTCTCGTGATGTCGATATAACGAGAAAATAAGGCGTTATAATGAGAAAACAACTCTCGTGATGTCGATATAACGAGAAAATAAGGCGTTATAATGAGAAAACAACTCTCGTGATGTCGATATAACGAGAAAATAAGGCGTTATAATGAGAAAACAACTCTCGTGATGTCGATATAACGAGAAAATAAGGCGTTATAATGAGAAAACAACTCTCGTGATGTCGATATAACGAGAAAATAAGGCGTTATAATGAGAAAACAACTCTCGTGATGTCGATATAACGAGAAAATAAGGCGTTATAATGAGAAAACAACTCTCGTGATGTCGATATAACGAGAAAATAAGGCGTTATAATGAGAAAACAACTCTCGTGATGTCGATATAACGAGAAAATAAGGCGTTATAATGAGAAAACAACTCTCGTGATGTCGATATAACGAGAAAATAAGGCGTTATAATGAGAAAACAACTCTCGTGATGTCGATATAACGAGAAAATAAGGCGTTATAATGAGAAAACAACTCTCGTGATGTCGATATAACGAGAAAATAAGGCGTTATAATGAGAAAACAACTCTCGTGATGTCGATATAACGAGAAAATTTAGTCGTTATAACGAGAAAACAAGAAGGAAAAAAAAATAATGCATGGCCGCTTAGAACTTCCGTACGTAACACCGGTAGATGGCAGTCTACTAAAACGGACAGGCAGAAGAAGGAAGAATATTGAAATGATTGCAATTTTACTGGCATTGCAATGGGTGGAGGAACATAAGCAAATAGACATGAGGAAACTAATCTCAAGGCTTAGATTTGGCCATACTGCTCTTAATAGCAGTTTGAAGAGAATGGGGAGACATGAAACTGGAAAATGTGAATATTGTAATATGGAGGAAAATGTAGAGCTTGTTATAATGAAGTGTCCAAGATACGGAAAGGAAAGAAAGATACTGATTGATGTCCTCAAAGGAAAATAAAGAAAAACTTAATTTGATGAACAGTTTGGGGAATAAATCAGGGGATGAAAACTTTCAATTTTTAATGCGTTATTTAAAGGACACTGGATTATATAATAGAATTTAGTGAAGAGTCCGATCCTGATCCACACTCCTAATCAGTAGGTGGCGGTAATGCACCTAAAAGTTGTATGCCATCCGCCATTAAACACCATATTTGCCATTACCCTAGTCTTTATTTGATTTGAGAGTCAATGATATACAAGAATGTCCACAATAAAGAGAAGGAAAAATATTTTCAAAATCTAGTAAACATGAGGCAATTTATTGGAGATGTAATCTTTTAGTTTTCACACTGGTCTCATATGGTTTGTAAAACCTTTCTACTACCGTTTTCAGGAAAAGTTTCAGTTTAATGACTGAAAAGATGTCACGTGGTGTGATCATCAAAAAAAAAGTAATGACGTTTTTCCTTGTTTTGAATACATATGCGTGTACATGAATAATTACTTTCAAAAAAGTTTTAAAATATATATTTTCAAGGTATTTTAAAAATCCATTACATGTATTATTAATAAATATGAATACGGTTTTGGAGAGTTAAACCACATGACATTTTACAACCTGACCTAATGTTGCCTTGATTTGGCAGACCAAAAATTGCTAAGCAGTTTTTATTAAAATATTTATATAAGAAATAATAGTAAAACATTATGCCAGACTACTTGAGATTTTCTGTTTAGAATAATTTTATTTTTTAATGAAGTTTTTTTTTTACCATCATTTTGATATCAGGACAGATGTATCATCCAGACATTTTTGACTAAATCCCTTAAAATATCAAAATTACTGTACTCATACTCATTTTGAATATATTTTTTAATAACTTAGATTAGTTTTGGTAATCTGTAAATTCACTTTTTATAGGCTTCAATGAGCATAGTGTACGAGGACCGGTGCTGTGTGCCTGTGTTGATGATAAGTGGCTGTACTACAGCTCTCTCAATGACCTACACACTCTTCAGCTCACCACAACATCTTCATCAGAAGCAACAGGAACTGAGTCCCAACTGCAAGCTCTGACCTCTGACAGTCTTGGTGTATGCAGGGCTATAGCACTTGCTGGGCCATATACTAACCCCACAGGTACAGTACATTAATTATGATAAATCTCTATGCAGTTTCCCGGCCTTTTGCAGTATTTTAAGTCACTAACACAAAGTGTTTGTTTTCTAATTTTAAGGATCTGTGCAGCTTTTGGCAGTATCTTTGAGCGGAAGACTGCTTCGCGTGAACCTTCCTCAAGGATCTGAAAATGTTCCCAGGTTGCCCTCATCTCTGGCAGGCCAGAGAGTGAAAGACCTTCTGGCTTCCATCGCAAACATCTGGGAGAGGTCTGTTTCATGCTTCATCATTGAAAAGACTACTGGTTTTCTGGCGGCAAAAGCTAAATGTCACTTTTTGTTTATTTTGATTTATTTAAATTTTAGTTTATCTTATAATCATAGTTGTTCTTGAAAAAAAATCTTTGTTTTTATGAATTTATTTTATTTTGGTTTTTTTACATTTAAAACGGCCAGACAAATATTTTCACGTCATTGACACGTTTTTTTTTCTTCTGCAGGGCGGAATCCTTGAAACACGAGCTTCAGGAGAAAAATTAGTCTCTCAAACATCTTAATCAAGTCATAAATGTTTGCAGCCTACTGTTGGACAACCATGGGAATGAAAAGACGTGTAATATGGGCACCAAGCATCCAATTAGCTGTTGTGGTGTAGCTAGATGGAGCTCGTTGCTCCAAAGAGACTCTTTGACTCTCACATGTGTGCTTGAAAATTCAAGTGGATGTACATTGGAACATGACTGGACTTTGTGCATTCAGGTCCATCCATTATCCAAGGGTCCAAATATGGAAGGCTCATCTAGGACATACTCATTCCCATTCATGAAACTGGATTCTGGTCAGAAACTGGATGTAACCATTCCCCTTGAAAGCATTGGCGGGCTGTCTCTGCCAGTGAAAGTCTACTGTTCTCTTGTCTTCTCCCTTTCTGCTCTGTTTAGTCCTGAAGCATCTTCTCCTGGTGTTTCCCAGCTCGTAACAGAGATGGGCTCCATCAGTGCACCTTTGAGTACTTTAACAGTTGACTGGCTTGATGCTTTAAGGCTAGATGGAACATTTTCTAATGGTAATATCAAACACAACACTGTCATGGATGGCATCCAAACCTTCTTGCGTTCCAGTGGAGCGTTAACCAGAGATTCTGATACTACTACCAAGTCAGACTCAGGACCCATCACAGTGATGGTCAGGGTATCATCACAGCTTCTAAATACCAAACTGCACCTCTCAGCAACCAGCAGTGCAGAAAGATGCATGTCTGTGCTAAACTGATTGGTATCACCTGAGGAGAGAGGACAAATGTCGGTACAAAGTCCAGTGGTTTGTGTCTACAGCCCAGATGGATGCTCTGTCAAGCTTCTGGTCAAAGAGGTGCTGACTTTACACTACTGATTATTTATTTACGATCATAAAGTCTGTAATTTAGAATGAGTTACCCATGTCTTTCCTCAAGGTAACACTGGGAGATTTCTGTTCTGATGGACCTCTTGAAGTCTTGGAGATTCGGGTGGAAAGTGTCTGTGGCAGCGGTGTGTGGACTGCATCATGCCATTCTAAGGCGCCTTCAGGTACTTTTATAATAAAGTATTTCCATTTTTCAAACATGAACTTACAGTTGAATCTAATTTACAGATCATGACATTTTCAACAGGTCTTGCTCAGAGACTCGGCTGTGAAATGTGTTCATACAAAACAGCTAAAGGCACAGAGCTAGTTTGAAGTCGTACGGCATGTTGAGGTAAATCTGATTTCCTTCAATTTATCTGTTTATTACACTTTTACACTGTGATTAGTATTGATTCATGTATCGGACAGTTTTGTTTAAATCACATACAACAATATAATTTTTTTTTCTATTGTCAGTCTCTTTATAAAGACATTCAGGATGCGCAGAATCAAGCAGCTCTTGGTGGCACAATGAAGACGAATAAGAACTCTGAAATCCTGTTCCGCATTTTTCTGCAGCTGAGGGCAAATCCACTGGTCATTCTCTGATTGAAGTACACCATCATAATTCTTTATTGGATATATTTTTAATACAGTAGAGGTTGTTATTCCATACTGTTTTACTTTTAGGATACAAATCCCATGCTTTCTTTTTTGTGTGTCCCATTCATCATCACTTATTCCATAATCAATTAAACACTGTCTATATAATCAGGTATGGAGAAAAGTACAGAGGAAAAAAACACAATAGAATGTGGGTAAATGCAGTCTGTGAGTGTGTACTAAAGTTTGTCAAATAAATCCACATATTTGATACTTTAGTCCGCTGGTTGTGTCTCCAGATTGAAAAGCTTTTCTCTGAGCCGATAGTATCTTCCTTCTTTGGCCATGAGCTGCTGGTGTGTTCCCTGCTCCACGACTTCACCTCCCTCCATGAAGATAATGTGGTCTGCTTTCTCTACAGTCTCCAAACGATGAGCTATCACCAGTACTGTCTGATCCGTTATGTTATTGAGTACATCTTGAACCTGGACAACAAGATCATGAATAGATACTGAGAACCTCAGAATTTATCATGTTACAGCAGCTTAAATATAACGTGCAGCTGTTTATTAAGATATTAGGATTTTAGTATTAATTCCAGAGTCCGTACAGCTTGTTGTGTGCTGCAGTCCATGTGGCTGGTGGCCTCATCCAAGATGAGAATCTGTGGGTTCCTTATCAGAGCTCTGGCTATGGCAATGCACTGCTTCTGCCCTGCGGACAGCTGGCCACCACACTCGCCAACATCTACAGAGAAAGCGTCCAGATTTAACCTACTCGTTTATAGAGTTTTTATGTTATTTATGGGAAAGCACAATATTTCGCTACCATATCGATTATCTGACAATCTGCCTAGTTTTATCTACCTGTGTCATATCCTTGTTCCAATTTGCATATGAAGTTGTGTGCATTGGCTTTCTGAGCAGCTTCTTTTACTCTTTCAAGTGGACAGTCCTTTAAACCGTATTCAATATTATATCTCACAGAGCCAGAGAAAAGCACAGGATCCTGGGATACCATTGCCACCTAAGCCAAATGAAAGAGAATGATGTATAAATTTACAAACTACTACTCGTTTCACCAAACCATCCAACAGAATTGTTGAATTGAAATCTCTCCTCAAGTTAAATGGTTATAAATGCTGGTGTATCATTCCTTGCCTTTTTATGCAAGTACTGGTGTTGGTAGTGGTGCAGAGGTTCTTCATCCAGTAACACCTCACCCTCCTGTGGCTCATAGAACCTCTGCAGCAAGCAGACACAAGAGGTCTTCCCACCACCAGAGGGTCCTACCAATGCCGTCAGCTTCCCTGGACTCAATTCCAATGTAACAGACTGCAACAATTTAACAATGAGTTCATGCAAATTCCATTAGTTCTCTGATCTGCTTTTGCACTGTTAACCAAAGCCTACCTTAAGTGCTTTTTCATTAGGGCGGGAGTGGTAGGAAAATGTGACCTTTTCAAAGGTTAGTCTTCCCTCAACCTTCTCTGGGGCCAAATCACCTGCCTCTCTCATCTGTGGCTTCCTGTCAAGCAGCTGGAACACCTTCACTGCTGATCCCACAGTATTCAGCATGTCTCCGTAGATATATACAAGATGCTGAGAATATAATGATGGACAGAGTTTAGTCTCTAAATGAAGAGTCATATTACTGTAAAATTCTACTTGCCAGTCATACCTTCATGTTGGTCACCATGTCCTTCTGATAGAACACAAATGCAAGGAGGCTGCCGCTGCTTAGCTGTCCAGAGGAGATGAGATTTCGGCCTTGGAACAGCATTGCTACCTTCAAGCCTACTGTAATGAACTACAATGCAATGAAAGAAGAATCAATGAAATAGACCACAATTTCTATTTTGGAGACCGGTGCATGCAAATCAGGACTGTATATGATTTACCCTGCGTATTAAGAGATGGATGGCACTGTATATGCCTTTACGCCTCAGAATCTGGAGCTTCCGGTTGAGAGTCTGTTCATATCGCTGCTGCTCCTGATGCTCTGCCTTAAAACTGCGCACAGTCTTCATTGACCCAATGACAGAAGATGCCAACTCTGTAGTCTCTGCATTACAGTCCTGAAGCTCTTTGGCTATTGTCTGATAAGAAAGGTGAGACGCTATGAATTCATTACGGTTGTACCCCCAAATGTTTCTTTTTTTTTTGGGATTTGTTGAAAAAAGTTTTCAGGAGAGGCCAAAGCACAGCTTTATGAAGGTGTGTGAAAGTAATAAGTAAACCAACATGAGAAGGTTTACTAACCTGGGAGATGTTGTTGTATGAATTCTGAATAAAAGCAAGAAGTGGCATTTCGATGCAGGTGAGGAGGGTTAACTGCCAGGATAGACGCAGCATAAAGAACAGCATGCCACATGTCTTCACCAAACTCCGCAGTAACACATTCACATTCATGGCCACAGAGCGTCCCATTTTATCAGTGTCAGAGATCAAACGTGATGTGAGACTACCTGTAAGAGAGAAAATTTTGTTTCTGAGGCATGATTTTAAATAATATATTATCACATATGCACTATTTAGTAACTTTGTCTACTTTCAAAATCATACTCAAATATGCAGCGGAATGCAGTCTCGCAAGACGTGTTTTTAACCTTCTGAGGATCTTCAGTCATTTAGGAAGAAGTTTATGTATGAATTTTTAAAGTGTTTTACTTTTTTGGAATGGTAAAAAACTTAGTGACTCTTGTGGCACTTGCTATTTGAAAACATACAAAAAATTGGTTGATTCTGAGGCAGCTGGGGATAAAGAGTCGATTCCACTCGGATGAATCAAGTCCTCAGAAGAGCCTATTCAATTATACTGCGTGCGGTAAGAACTCGAGAAGCATTTTTTTTGTTGTTGAACAACTTGATTGGATTTTGAGCATTGCACTCAAAAGTGGAGGCAGATGAATGCTAGCTTGCAGGGGTGGGGGTTTAAGCTGAAAAAATTAATGGAGAAGTCGGTCGTTTTCACCGGAAGATCCAGTTTTGACATTTAAAAAAATATTAAACATGACTGAACTGTTCACAATGACATCTAAAACATGCATTTAGAAAATAGATAAAGATAATTTTTATTTCTCTGGAAAATGTTTACTTGAAGACAATTAGCACTAAACTTCAAGTGAAGTGAAGGGACAGGTACCTGGTTTGTTTTCTTCAAAGAAGCTTATCTCCTGCTTCATGAGGTTCTGGAACAGCATGTGTCGTATTCTTTTGTTGAGTCTGCTGAGGCTACACATGAACATTCCGCCGCGCATACCACCGAACATAGAACTTAAAGACACAAATGAACAATTAATTCCAAAAACAAAACCAGTTTGTACAAGGCGGCATTCGTTTTTAAGATATTTGCATGGCAGTGATGTTACACTGACCTTCCAAGTGAGCACAGTGCCATGAGTCCAATAGCCCATGAGAAATTGGTGTGCTGGTACTTTCCACTCAATATGTCAATAACTTTGCCAATGCAGTATGGGATGAATGTCTCAACTATTTAAAAAATAAATAAATAACTTTATTTTGTATTACTCTGGATCTAGTTTCTTCTATGTAGATCAAATATGCACTGACATCAGGTTTTGGATTTAAAATCAAGAACTAATTCAGACAATATTATAGTTTCCTCAACCATGAGAAACACTCACACAGTGCTGCCAGGCTGAGGAAGAGGAATGCAGCCCCTAGATGAAGATAGTCAGGCCTGGAGTATCGAATGACCCTCATTAGGAGTGCTTTGGCCTCTTCATCTTTCTTCTGGTTTCTGGTACCCTTAGATGATCCACCATGTGGGAAGGCCATCTCCCACACCATATATATGAGGGTAGATGTAGCTAAGCTCAGGATCACCATGCCAGGATCAGGAACAGGAGTGAAGCCTCTCACGGTACCGTGCAACATTGTCTGCATACTGTCAAACACTGGAGGTAGGAAGCTCAGTAGGGCTACCCAGCGCTTCAGGAGAGGCTGAATGCTGCTGTCAGCAAAAATCGTGCTCAATGAATAAAGCACAACACAGGTGATGGCCCTGAGAGCCCACAGGCACCATAGATCCAGACTGCCCTCTCCATCCAGCCACAGCAGTGCCGTCCACACACAAGCCCAGATGACAAGATCACAGCACAACAGGCAGAAATGCACTGCTGAGGTTCTAAAGATGGGGTGAGCCTCTGAGGTCATCTTAAAACTGAAAAGATAAAGATGATGAATCAAATAAACCAGCCTAGAATGGTTTCAAAGCCTGCTCACACTAGTCTGTTGGCTGGTTTTAGCTGATGGGAAAGCTGGTCTCTTAGTGTGACCAACTGAAAAACCGTTTAAAGCTACAAGCTAAGACTAGCTTAGGCTGGTTTACAATGTTTTCAGAGGCATCAATCTTCTCTAGTGCATTTAAATATAGGATAAGCGCTAAACAATATAAAGAGATACACAATATAAGTCTTCTTACCATTAGCTTCTCTCGTTGCATTTTGTCGCAAGTTCACGTTTGGTTTCACTTTCACACTTGTGGGCGGTGTCAAAACTGGTTTTCAGCTCCATTACGCATACGAATAATGAGAATCGATTTAGAAAACACATTTAATAACCGCATCGTTTGCTTAAAACGAGGTAGTGTGCATAAAAAACGTTTTTATCTCAAATTGCTACTGTATGTTGTGCGTATGACGGATCATGACGTTGTACGCTACGTCGGCTGGTCGACTCACCAGCAGAGAGCGCTGTTTGGCGCATGTTCTTCAGGTGGCCAGCAGAGAGCGCTGTTTGGCGCATGTTCTTCCGGTGGCCAGCAGAGAGCGCTGTTTGGCGCATGTTCTTCCGGTGGCCAGCAGAGAGCGCTGTTTGGCGCATGTTCTTCAGGTGGCCAGCAGAGAGCGCTGTTTGGCGCATGTTCTTCAGGTGGCCAGCAGAGAGCGCTGTTTGGCGCATGCTCTTCTGGTGGCCAGCAGAGAGCGCTGTTTGGCGCATGTTCTTCAGGTGCTGTTTGGCGCATGTGCTTCAGGTGGCCAGCAGAGAGCGCTGTTTGGCGCATGTTCTTCAGGTGGCCAGCAGAGAGCGCTGTTTAGCGAATATAAATATAAACATAAATATGCAGCCCTTTGTTTCACTCGTGACTCGTGAGCAAATGTGTAAACAAGGATTTTAACAATAAAAAAGCTGACTCCAACATTTACTATCATTATAGGCATTTTCTAAACACATATATAGCAATATAGTACGTCTATTTATTCTCTTTTTATGAGAAAACTTTTCAAGGCATAGCTATATATAGCTTGCAATAACAGAATGCAATTTATTAACACTTAAATACATTTAAAACATTCTATATTTTTTTAACGAATTTGTGGAATGACCAAAAATGTTGGACTTTTCTGCAAACATAAACCAGAAAGATGAAGATGTGTTTAGACAGCTAAGATAAGCCAAACCATGATTGCTTATTGTTAATAATTGCTTATTGAAAACAAAACAAAATAATAATAAAACAGAACTGCTTACATCTTTATTTTTAAATTTAAATTGAGTACAGAAACAAATTTTTATTGTAGTAAATACTTTGTATTATACATTGTTATATAAATGATACTCTCTCGGGGGTAATCATAGCCCTTTATGCTTATATAAGCTGGTCATTTGCTTTGGCAAAGTAACAACACAATAGAGCAACTACGGCAACCAGCAGTTTACAGGAGGAGTTTACATACACTGTAAAAAATGACAGTGAATTTAACGGTAAAAGACTGTAAAAATGCTACAGTAAAAACCTGTTAAATGGTTAACGGTAAATTCCCCTACTTTATACAGTGAAAAACTGTATTGGACATTACATGTATTGGACACTAATTTTATGGTAGTATACCGTTTTTGGAAGTGAAAAAGGCTGTATAATTTACAGTGAATAACTGTAAATTGACATTCCCACAATTCCCTGCGTTACATTTCAAATTTGATGTTTTTTTGTTGAAATAACTGTTTCTTCTTAGTTTTTTCTTATCGGTTTTGCATATTAGGGTTGTGTGTTACACCTAATGTTGTTAAATGAATGTTTATTGCTTTATTTCAGTTTCATGTGTGTTACCATGATGGTGTTTAGTGTTTGTGTGAATGAAACTGTGCACCTTCTATATATGTTATTATTGAAAAGCTGCTTGTGATGGGCTTTGGTTCATCATGGGACTTTCTCATCACCTCCTGCATTTGGTGGTTATCAGTGTATTACAAAGGCACAAAACAGATTTCAGTACTTCAATAAGGTTGGTATATTAACATTATATCAGTTAATGAAATTTCGGTATTTAACTGTAAATTTAAGTTAAAACCGTAAAACCTAAAACGTTGCTACTGTATTTTTTACAGTAAAATTCCGGCAACCACAGCTGCCGTTTTTTTACCGTAAATTTGACATTTTTTTACAGTGTATAAATCAGCACAAAGTGAAATGTGACGCTTGTTCTGTTCAGCAGTGAATAATAATTCATGACACTGATGGGCCCTCTGCACCCTCAGTTCAAATACAATCTTATTCAGTACTAATCCTAATAAACAAACAAACCAACCAACCCAAGGGCACATATTTAAGATTAGTCATACTCAAGCACTCACTGAGAACCAGAAAACACAAAGTCTGAATATTAAATATATCTTGGTTAAAGAATGTCTGTACTTGGACTGAGAAAACATTAAGAGCCTATGTGCAATAATAGCAAAACAATGTTGTACTGATTTATTATACAGTACCTTTCCAACCCTTTGGGAACTGAATGTGTAGAGACATCAGACCAACAATCTTCCTTAAGGCTTTCAGTGCATAGTCTTATGACACAAAAAGTGTATAAAACAACACAGTGTGATGTATACTACTGTTCAAATGTTTAGGGTCAGTAAGATATTTCAAGAAATTAATCATTTTATTCAGCAAGGATGCATTAAATTAAAAGTGTCGATAAAGACATTTATAAAGTAACGAAACACTGAAAATGTTTATTTCAAATAAATGCTGTTCTTTTGAACTTTCTATTTATCAAAATTAAAATAAAAAGGTATTATGGTTTTCATAAGAATATTAAGCAGCATTACTGTTTTCAACATTTATAATAATAAATGTTTCCTGAGCACCAGATTATTTCTGAAGTATCATGTGACACTGAAGACCGGAGTAATGGCTGATAAAAATTCAGCTTTACCATCACAGGAATAATTTACATTTAAAAATATATGGCATTAGAAAACAGTTATTTAAAATTGTAATAATGTTTCACAATATTACTGTTTTTACTGTATTTTCAATCCTATAAAAGCAGATTTGGTGAGCATAGGAGACTTCTTTCAAAAATCTTATCAACCTCAAACAGTAGTGTAACTGGCAAAAAATTAGGAAACTGAATATTACAAGCATGAGATGTATCAAATCTGTCACAATGCTCAATATTTTCTGACTTGAAATAGCTTAATTACCTGGGCAAACAACTTCAGCATACGGTCATTTAGATCAGTAAATGAAGAAGGGTTTATAATATTTACTTGAATTCAAAGGACTGCATTAACGGATGTCACTGTAGCTCCATGGCACTGATATACTCTACAAGGCGAACCGGTGATATGAGACCAGGATGTTTGCAAAAGCCAGTGTCAGATAACAACGTACAAAACAACCAGGGTTTGATGTTGAAATAACATAGTTATAAATAGCACATTCTATGATACTAATAAATGTGACCCTGGACCACAAAACCAGTCTTAAGTCGCTTGGGTATATTTGTAGCAATAGCCAAAAATATATTGTATGTGTCAAAATTATAGATTTTTCTTTTATGCCAAAAGTCATTAGGATATTAAGTAAAGATCATGTTCCATGAAGATATTTTGTAAATTTCCTACTGTAAATATATTAAAACTTAATTTTTGATTAGTAATATGCATTGCTAAGAACTTCATTTGGACAAATTTAAAGGCGATTTTCTCAATATTTAGATTACAGATTTTCAAATAGTTGTATCTCGGCCAAATATTGTCCTATCCTAACAAACCATACATCAATGGAAAGCTTAATGATGATGATGTATAAATCTTATGACTGGTTTTGTGGTCCAGGGTCACAAATGGCAAAGAAACATATGTTTGTACTTGATACGGATCACGATTACAAAGACATAAATAACTCAGATCCAGGTCATACATTTGTGATTTTTTCTGACTCTGATGATGGCTTATTTGTCTTGTCCCCATCTGTAGGCACACTGCTGTACTGGCAGTCCATGGGCAAATTGACTGCAGGCTTAGCTGGAGACCCAGACCCTGGTGAACTGTTCTTCTGGGCTGCATCACGGGAGTCCAGCCAGTAAAAGGAAACCATAAGGAACAGAGCTGATAAGGCCACTGAGATGCTGCAGGCCAGGAACACATATTATGACTGGTTTTGTGGTCCAGGGTCACAAATGGCAAAGAAACATATGTTTGTACTTGATACGGATCACGATTACAAAGACATAAATAACTCAGATCCAGGTCATACATTTGTGATTTTTTCTGACTCTGATGATGGCTTATTTGTCTTGTCCCCATCTGTAGGCACACTGCTGTACTGGCAGTCCATGGGCAAATTGACTGCAGGCTTAGCTGGAGACCCAGACCCTGGTGAACTGTTCTTCTGGGCTGCATCACGGGAGTCCAGCCAGTAAAAGGAAACCATAAGGAACAGAGCTGATAAGGCCACTGAGATGCTGCAGGCCAGGAACACATATGTGTACTGGTCAGTACGGTCCACAAGGATTCCTGGAACACAGGTGCAGGGGTATTAGCATTTTATTTTGTATCTATAAAACCAAATAAAAATACTAGATCTAAATACGTTCAAATTTAATACAGATCTGCTCGATCATCATTATTTTAAAAATAACCACCCAAACATGAGTCATGCATGAATGTAAAGGGGCGTTCTAGAATAGAGGTGAACACCAAAAGCATGTACTTAGTAGCACTCCAAGGTGCTAGACAGCACTTGGCTCAACTAATGACATTTCTGTGTAAGAAAGATCAAAGACCAGATTGAGAACACAGCCTTCGCTCCGACCAACACATAAATCCAGATTAGTGCTGTTACAATGGAGCAGACATTCCATTCTTTTTGCTGAAACACAGGCACAAACCTCTTCACTGATAGCTACACAATCACACATATTTCATTCTATATCATAGTGATTCTTCTTTAAAAGACAAGAATGTTTGGGAATGTCTTTGAATTAATTTTAAAATGATTTTTATGAGACTTTTGGCAGGACAGGACAGGCGACAGGAAAGAACATTCATTTCCTGATCTGAGACAGATTTAAACTTGGGATAAGAGCAGCGGGATTTTTAGGAAATGCACTGTGCACTTTCAATTTCACAAAACTTTTTTTTTACATCAAGATTTTAGGGTAAATTTGATATTAATTTATAATGGAAACTGTATTTTGTAGGTCCCGTAACTGGTCACTATTTGTTTGCAAAATGTTCACCATTTTAATTACATGTTTGCTTGCTCTAGTTTATCTAACTCAACCAACTGTAGATGAGGGTCAACAAAAAAAATACAAATTAATAATTTTTAAAAAATATATTAAACCAAGATTTTTTTTTTAGATTGTAATAATATTTTACAATACTACAGTTTAGCTTTTGTGAGCATAAGAGACTTCTTTCAAAATTATTTTAAAAATCTTCCAAACTTTTGACCAGTAGTGTAGCACCTTTTAGCAGTAAAGCATAAAGTGCCTCACAAAGCATAAAATCAAAACACATTAAATATATAATGAAACACATTCACACATTAGTAATATAAATAGTAAGTCTTTCAAGAAATATTAGGTTATAAAGCTGCATTCAAAATAGTTACAAATGCTGTTTAAAATAGTTTACGATTGGGTATATCATGCCGCACTTGAGGACATGTCGACTTTCCAAAAATATTTCATGTCAACCAACCTTTTATTACAAAATTTACTGTTTAAATGAGGGGTGATAGATGAGGCGGATATTTACAGTACCTACAATCCATGTAGGAAATAAAACTAGCAAATGTTTGCACTTTAGCATCACTTTATTGCCTGTGAAGGTTGTGAATGACTCTCTACTGCAGGCAATGGCCATTTACATCTACATATCCATAACAGTATAAAAAAAGAGTATTATTAGTATATACTAATGATGAAAGGCTAGAAACGCCCCTGCTGTCTATAGAAACTTTACTTGTTGTCTCAAGTCTATGGCAGGTGCAAATGTTGAAATACCAGCATGACCACATTTAAAACATTCTCTGTCTGTTTTGGTATCTGGAGTTTAGAGGCCAATAGATCATGTTTGGGCTGTGTTCTGTGAGTCATAAACATTCAGGCAGTGACATGGTGCTGTCGACGTACAAAATACATAATTCAAAACACAAAGTTTTCAAGTTACCTGCGAGAGGAGGTCCTATCAGGAGCGTAACGCTTTCCATGATAGACAACAGGCCGAGCGCAGATGGGAATCGACTCATCTCCACCGTGTCCATCAGGACGGTGAACATCAGTGAGCCTACCACGCTCATGGACAGTCCGTATGCCAGCACATACATTAACAGCACTGGGAAACTTGCAGAAATGCAGCAAATACTATTACTGAGTCCATTTATTAGGAGTGCGGCTGAGAAAACATAGATATGCCGACCTTTAAACCAGGGCAGACTGAAGAGCACTCCAGCGGGAGGCCGCACAATGATGTTGACAAAGCCCAGGATGGAGAGCAGCAGGGCAGCTCGGCTTGGATCCATTTTGTGAGCTGATGCGTACGGGACCAGGTAAATAAGCGGCACTACAAACCCCAGCATCATCCAAGTGATGCCCAGTGAAAACACCCGAAATCGCAGGTTACTACAGAAGAGGTCAAAGGCCATGTGTTTTCTGAGGAACGATGCTAAACTCTGAAAGATCCCCAGCATGCATTCCTTTTTGCTTGGGGTTCTGGGACCGTTGCTCATCACCTCTGTCTTTCTGGGCTTGCGAGGCCTGACCGGTCTCATGACGGCTCCGCAAACACAGCAGTTGAGCAGCACAGCACCGAGTACCAGAAAGCTCCCTCTCCAGCCCAGCGTACTCTGCAGATAGTCACCTAAAAAGGGCAATGTAGACAGACCCAGAGCAGTACCAGTGGAGGACATAGCATTGGCAAAAGGACGACGGCGCACAAAGTAGTGGCCAAGTATTGTGACAGCGGGCTGGAAGCTGAAACAGAAACCCAGACCTGTGAAGCAAACAGAGGGTTATGCATTATATAGAACTGACTGATGGATGAAGTTCATTGTACTTTGGTAACTAACAGTGAACAGCTATTATTTACTTACATGCCAACTATCAAAGCTGTAACTGTAAATACATCTAAGCTGTAACTGTATTTATAAATAATAACATTTATTGTTGTTGTTGTTATTATATGATTTAATAATTAATAACCAATCAATTGAAAATGAATGCATTTATTATTACTAGTTGTATATTATTAATTATATTAATAATAAATACATAAAATCTGTTAATATAATACTAATTATTATTGTTGTTGTTGTTGTTATTAAATGGTTTAAATAATTAATAATCAATCTATTAATAATAAATGCATTTATTATTATTATATCATTGAATAATTAATCCTCAATTAATTAATTAATAAATACATCAATCTGATTATTGTAAGAAAACTTAAAATATTGTGAATAGTAAATATTAAGGTATATAACAATCAATAATTATCCTTATTATAATTATATTTAATAATCAATAATATAATAAATGCTCATGTATTATTTACTTGTATGCTGACTTTCTGAGCTATATAACACATTTATTTATTGTTTAAATAAGTTATACTAATTTAGTATTTTATAATTGTTATTATATAATATTAATATATCAATTAATATTAATATAGTTATATTATAATATAATTTTACTGGTCATATAAATCTGCTTGTTGCTACAGTACGTACATTTTTAACATCTGAAACTTTTTGTGGGTGGTCTAATTAACTTTTTGTTTATAGAACACTCAAAGTAATGCTGTTGTGCTAAATGCTAAATAACAGCCATGCTGATAATAAGCACAACAGGATCCTTGTGTGATATTGCTCAAGAAATCAACCTCTTCATATCTGTATTCCTATTCTTATTCATGTCAAGTCAGCTGGTAAAGTGCTTAGTGATAACTCTTTACATAATCACGATGACGAATGGAATCACAATGTTTATGTAATCACTGCTGTTGCTCTTTTATCTACAGATCAAACAAGATATCATTATCACTTCCTCTGGTGACTTACTGACCTGTGATGACCCCAGTGGTGATGTATAAGTCAACGATGGTATGTGAGAAAGAGCTGACCACCATCCCAAAACCACTCAGCACTCCCCCAAACATCACTGTCGCCCGGCAACCAAAGCGTTCCACCAGAACACTACACAGAGGACCTGCAAGAAAAACACATACGGTAAAAAAAAAAAACTTTAATCTGAGATGGTTTACTCCTAAAATCCCAGCATGACACGCCATATTCCTACAGCTCATTTTCAACAACCAGCTACTCAAAACACCACACTAGAACAATGAACTGCCTTGTTCAAATATGTTAAGCGAAATGTCAACACACAACTCTCACAAGTAATTGATGTATGGCTATTTAAGAGGTATAATGAAGTGTGTGTAATAAATGTTGGATCAAGCTGTTCCTCTTTTATGACTGCTACAATGACTGCCAGTAAAAAGCCAAAATCACCGTGAACATGTAAATCAAACACTGACTTTTAATTACCATCTCTGCTGGACTTATGTAATGTAGTTGTTATCAGTTTAAATCAGATGTCAAATAATGACCACAATTTCCTTCTTACAGTGGGGATGAATTGCGCACTTATGCATTCAGTGCAATTACCTGTTTAACATCTGATTAAACAAAATTGTGCATAGAGCTCCTTTGATTTACCGTATATGTAAAAAAACAAAACAAAAAAAACTTTATTAATTAAGGAGGGTAAACATATTGAATATTAATAAGTGTTATTTAATAAAACTGCTGCAAAAATAACACAAGTCTCTGGATTGTGAAGTATTTTTGCAGGTTAAATGTCAATTAAGGTTGACTCAAGTTTAATATGCAGACACAAGTACAGTATAAGTAAGCCATTCATATGTTGAATTCCCCAAAAGTGTTAACACTGCTTTGAAATATTGCTCTGTATTTTTGACCAGCTTGACTCAACATTGGCTCAGGGGTTCAGAATTGAACCTCTTAAATGTAAAACATTTACTTGGAAGTACCTGAGATTTTAAGTTAATATTTCAATCATTTCTAGGTGGTCAGTTTAACGTGTTAACTTAATTAATTAGTTATGAAAAAATAACGCGATTAAAATATTTTAATGCAGTTAACGCACTGGCCCCGCCCCCAGACCTGTACATCAGTAAGTTGACTGTTGACAAACATGATGTAGGGCAAAAATTAGTTTTTGTCTCATATTTACATCACGAAAAGCGATATCACTTAGCGACAGCATTTAATTTATCACATGAATGCTGTTTTTGCACGAATAGCATTTTATATTATTTACAGTTCAGTAAATAAGAAGTTAATTTTTTTCTGTCATTGCACAGGATCTGGACCCTCTGAAGGTGGTTGCTGAGAACAGAATGATGCACAAATTGCTAGTCATTATGGATAACACCACTCACCCTCTAAATTACATGCTTGTTGCATTAAGGAGTAATTTTAGTTGGAGACTGATCTTGCCTCGGTGCAATAGTGAACGGTATAGAAGGTCTTTTGTACCTATTGCAGTTAGACTGTATAACACATCTCTCGGATGCAGAGGCACCTTTGAACTTCTAGTGAGCTAGATAGTTAAATTTATTTTATATCTTTACCTGTATATCTTATTTTATCCTAAAATCTGAAGGGAAATGATCTGTTTTACCTGTATTTATTATTTATTTTTATCTATTGTATTTATTTTGTGTTGTATGGTTTATGTTTTGGCTGCTCATGCAAACCAATTTCCCTGCGGGGATTAATAAAGTTTATCCTATCCTATCCTAATATTGTGTGTTTTTGCTCAATTTTGCCAACGAAAATATTACCTATAAAGACATCGCCAAACTGTTGTGCGTCTGTGAGCAACATAGTGGTGTTTAGTTTCTGAATCCTTGTATTGAATGAATCGTGTGAACCAATGATTCAAAAGCCCATTCAAAGAGAGAGAGCCGTTTACTTCATTCCTGAATGAATCAGCCGTTTGCACGAATCGAATGAATGAATGACTCAAAGACATTTAATGCCACCTGCTGGCAGTTTTAATTTCTTACAGTATTATTTCATTTATTTAAAAAAAATAATTATAAATAAACATTAAAGGGATTGTTCACCAAAAAATAAAAAAATGTTGTCATAATTTACTCACCCTCATGTCGTTTCAAGCCTGAATGACTTACTTTCTTTTGCACAATATAAAAGAAGGTATTTTGAAGACTGTTGGTAACAAAGCTGTTTTGGTTACCAGTGACTTTCATTGCATGACCAAAAAATAAAAAAAATAGATGTTTCTCAAATTATCTTCTTTTATGTTCCATATTATGTTGTAGCCTAAACGTTTATGTGTAATAAATTTTGTTGAATCATATCAAATATTTATTTCTAAAGTTAATATTTGTAATGTCTACTTGATACTTTCTCATTTAACACAATAATAGCTTTAAATAATCTTTTGTGGGTATTTTCACAGCCAAATTTAATTTGCGATAAATTAGATTAATTAATCGGCGCACCATGTAATTAATTAGATTACAAATTTTGATTGACTGACAGCTCTAATAATTTCACAACATATTCACATGTTTACAGTTCTCTGATGCTGGTTAATGGCCACATGACATGCAAGTAAACAAATAAAATATCTAATGTTTTTATTTTAAAATAATTTAGAAATATAGTGCTGCACGACTTGGCCAGAAAATCATATATGATTATTTTATCATATATTGCTACTGTCTGAAAATGTCTCATATTGCTACTGCTGGGACATCCAGAGACAAAGAACAAAGACTCTGCTGCTAAAGGAAATAGTCACATTTAAGGGTGTTCATAATTAGTTCACACTTTACAACAACCACCTAACACCACAAATTACAATACAAATATTTATGTCTGGAATTATGCACTTTCAAATGTTCAAACCCTCAAGCTTTTAAGATGTTAGCAGATACATGAGTTTTTATTTTGGCGAAATACTGGTGAAATGCTGTAACGTTCTGTTCACAAAAACATTGGAAATTATGCAAATATTCCTGTTGTAAATAATGTGAACTTAGCACATGTTGTGTTCCCAAATGGACATTAAACTCACAGCTCAGAAATGGCGTTAGTGAGAAGCAGCATAGCCTTTGATTTGACAATCGCAATTTGATACAATATATCAGTATTTTGTTTTATTTCGATTAACTGTGTAGCTCCATTTGTTTATTTTAATATAACATTCAATATAATTAATTATTAGCTCCCAAACCCTTGTTTGGGAAACCCTGGGCTCAGGTAATGCCACAAGTTTGGAGGTGGGACTTCTTGTTTGTCCGACCAATGGAAGATTCATTATTTTTGCAATTTCATCTGGTTGTGCTAGTGGAGAAGAAAGAACAGACTTCTCTATAACATCCTTACCTCCGGCATGCAGAACTGCCGTCATTATTGATGGCACCCAAGATGTCTCACTGTTACTGGCTTGAAATTCTTCCTGAAGATCTAAGTAGAAGATGCCAATGCAGGAGGGGAAGGCCAGAGTCAGAGCTAAGACAAGGATAGTAGCCACTAGGATCACCCATCCCCAGCCTCCATCTGGAGCATCATAGCCAACTGGATGAGCTTGATCAGAAGGGGGTCCTGTTCCTTGTTTTTCTCCCTCCTCAGATTCAGGCTCACATAGCTCCCCCGACTGCTCCTCCATGCTGGAAGATTGCTGAGGTGCCATATTTTCCGATCTGATGGTAACCATGTCACTACCACCTGGGTTTTTTCACTTGATCCGGGGAGCTTTGGGCTCTCAGCGGCAGAAGAAGAGCAGGGCAACACATTCTTGCATATTCTATATCATCCAAATAAAGTGTGCTTGCTATAACCCTATACAAAAAAAGGGAGGAAAAGCTAATCTTATTGAACAATGAGCAATATAAAGCATTTTTCAGGAACACAAACAAATACTTAAAAAAAGAAAGATTTTTTTAAATACAGACAATCCATTGCAAAATATTGGGTGGAGCTACAAAAAGTTATTGTATGAACTTGTCAAACTATTTCTTTGTTTACCTTTCAAGTTCAGGTAGACCTGAGAGGTATTTACTCACATCCATCTTAAAGATTTTTCACGGTTTGTTTGGTCTTAGCTGTAATACTGAATACTAACCAAGTTCATATTTATCTAACCTGCTACAACACATTTCGATATGGAAACAGATAGTGGTTTTCATTCGTAATCAAATCTGTGTTTTTAAAAAGTGTCTAAGAATCTTTTAAGTGAATATCTCTGAAATATCTCGGTCTCTGAAATAATCTTACTTTGAAACAAGAAACTGAATGTAGCAGGCAAATGCAAAAATTTCATTGAATGGTTTAACTGAACGGCCACGCCCCTTCAAAGAACGAGTATGTAGAAGTTACTAAAAGCAAATTACACAAAAAAAATAAAACCAATAACAGCAACTTATATTTTGTTGAAACTCTAAAACGAAACGGTCTATATAACGCTTATGATGTTTAAGCACTCTTTAATATTATAAGGACGATAAGACATAAGTTAGTCGTGAAAGATTTAATGTTTTTAGAGAATCGGTTGAGTGAATGATTCAATGACTCACTCAACAAAGAAAAAAAGACATTCCTGTGTCGCCACCTACTGGCGTAAAGATGTAACCTACGAAGTAAATCTCCGCTACTATTTTTGTTCACATGCTTTTTATCCTTTTGAATGGTATTTTATTTATTTTGCTTCTACGGCTGTTTCAGGGTGTCCTGAACATGTTTACATCACAAAGACATTTCTGCTTTTCAGGAAGAAGCGACTTTAAACGAACAATAAAGAAACTATACGGAAAGCAGACGCGTGCGACTTTTTTTTCAACAAGTGCTATGTAAATAACTACTTAAAACACTTGAGACATGTTTGTCTTTATTGAAGGTAGGCTACCTGAAACCAGCCACATCGCCGGGGTCTCACAAGCCAATGTAAACAATTCATCCTGTTCTTAAAGCCGAACACGTATTGCCAGACTCAAACAGGACACGATGCAAAGCTTGGGGGAAAAAACTCATGTAATAAACAACAAACGCACCTTTTCAGCGCATTTTCAGGTAACGTTATCCACGCCAGCACCGTCTGCCTGTGCTGCGGAGACTGTCAGATCAGATCAGCGGTAGGAGGAGACACTCCGGCTGTGAGCAGTTTCAGGATCCAGTCGATTAAGCAAACGCTAATGTAACAGCATGTTCTCTCACATATCGTACTATAACCATATAAACCAACTAGAGAGCTAGATGGAAGTAGTAGGCCTAACGGCTCCTTTAACAGCAGTCTACACGTAGAGAAATTTGAGCACCAGGGCGCTGGCATGGCATTTCCTCTTGCCTTTCACCCAGAGTAGCTCAGTCGCATCCGACTAACGTTACGTTAGAGCCGAGCTGAAGGGCGGGTTTCTGAATGCTCATGCTGGCGTAGTTAAGCACGTATAACCCATAGGAAGAATTAGGTTTATTAAAACTAAACCTCCTCCCAGCAATACTACAATAGTAAAGTACATTCTACTGGTCCTGTGACGCAGACTCCGATGCCTAACAAACATCTTATTCTTACCCAAAACACAAATACTAACCATTTGTGAAACACACACGGTGACTGTCTCCAGTGTCAATTTAGACCACTTTAATTTAAGAGTAGCTTTACAGTCGATATATAGATATTTCACCCCAAAAAATTAAAAGTCTGACCAAACCTGTGAAACTAAATTTCTTCAGTGGGATACCAAAGGAGAGGTTGAACAGTACGTCTCAGACAGTCACCATTCACTTACTGTATGAAGGGGAAAAAACATTGAATGAAAGAGAATGGTGACTGAGACTGCTTCTCCTTTTGTGTTCCATGGAAGAAAGTAAGTCATATTTGGTTGACTTTATATTTATGGGTGAAATATGCTTTCAGTTCAAATGGTATTATTTACAAGGTTCCCACACTTTGGGAACTGTAAAATTATCGTTTCCTGGCAAGGCAAATAACCAAACATTACAATAGTTAATAATTAAATTACATTTTTATAAGGCTCCAAAATATTTAGCAGTCTAGAAATTACTGTTGTGAGCACAATCTCGTTTTTTTTTATGTCAAAATGCTTTTTAATGGTTTTACATTTTTTAAACAGAATACATATAAACAAAGTTCTAATGTAAAACATTGTAAACAAAATAAGCACGCCACCAATCTGAAACACAAACACATATTATGATAAAAATCATACATTATCACTTTGCAATCTGTATATTGCAAGAAACTGCATCAGAAGACAAACTTTAAAAATGAAAAAAATTTTTTTTTTTTGAAAAATACAGTCTGATCAAGACTATTCATTTCCAGAACACTTAGTTCCACGATCTCCATAGCCTAGTGACATATTTGACACTTTACATCAATACTGTTGACAATGCAATACACCCAATACATCTGATGAAAGAGCAGGTTTTTAGCACATTAAAATGTGTGTGTACTGTATATTAAAGCATGCAGGTGTTGTAGGCTATTATGGCAAGAAAAAAAACAACATGTTAAACATGGACCTTGTTTTAAACTTTTATCTGAAGAAGTTATGACAGAGGTCTGCACTTTTGGCCAGTTCGAAAACATTGGTTGAAAGCTATATCTTTTATCAGATACATGGGGTGTTGCATAAACATATTTAGCCTCAGCAAACAAGTTTTTCCAGTAGTACTGTTTGATTTGATCCATTTCTGTACAGAACAGTTAAAATAGGGCCATATATTTTTTTAATTTCCACTTCTCAAATATTATTAATACCATCTGTCATCTGTCCATGCACCAATTCACCTTCACAATATGACAACATCCCAGCATTATATACTCAACACATTGCATGCTTCCAAGTTGGTATTCCAAAACACCAACCTCCTGTTTTTCAGAATAGCATATATCTTTTTTCCACAAAGAAAATATCTTTATTTATATATCTTTTTGTTTGATCTTAAACAACATGGGGTACAAGACCTAAAGAAGAATGGTAGATTTCTAAGGAAAAGGAGACACACAGAAGTCTCACAATCTCAAGTGCTTAAAGCATCAGCAGTCAATGTGACGTCCATATCAGTTTCCTGAACCGTTCCAAATAAATCTCGAGACTGCCCATGACATTTTCTTCTGCCTCACATGGGGTTTGACTCTAAAAATAGAACAAAATCTAAAAACAAAATCCACACAGTGAGAACATTATAATGCAGGTATAATAATGCATTATAATGAAAGTGCATGGGGGCAGGAGAGGAAAAGCTAAATACAGATGAACCACTGAAACAACAAGAACCATAAACTCAGGGGAAACGGCCACAGTCAGTATCTGAATCAAGGAACAGAACTGATTTAGTCAAACCAAACATAAAATAAACACCATTTCCCAACCATCTGTATTTAAAGTAGAGTAATCTAGGAGTGAAGACATGAAGGGCATGACAGGTCAAAGGCACAACACTAGACAAACCATTGGGACGGAGAGAGACTTAAACAGCACCACCTAGTTTTGAATCCAGGATTCTTCTTTGAAATCAGACCTGAAACCAATTTGAACAATGGGAATGTACAATAGGATCCTGTGAGAGAGCCGAGGTCCCGTTACAGGAGCTTCAATGACTAATAATTGGGGCTGAACAAATAAACTCTCTCCAGGAGGGGAAAACATTAACACAACAGAAGAAAGGGAAAGCCAACAACCACAAAGTATCTCACAAACTCAAGTACTTCGCCTTCTTGATATGATAAACCAAAGACATGAGTTTAGTGCGATAAAGAGGTAAAAATTCTTAAATGTATTTAGAGAGAGAAGAGACAACAATTTAAAACACTGCCGACCATAAAAACGTCACCTAAAGTCCACGCACATGATGCCATCTTATTGAGCCCTAGATTCAACAATATTTCATCAATAGATATGAAGAACCGAATAACCAAAATACAGCCTGGATACCGTTCAAATACTGACAATTTGTGATGTAGTCACAGCAGATTCCGAGAAACCACAACGTAATTATATAAAAAAATACAGGAGATAAAACAGGAGATCAGGTTCATCTGCTGCTAGATTGGGTTAAACAATGAGGGCCACTGGTTTCAAAGACAAAGCTTCAATGTTAAAATGAAGCAAACATAAAATGTTTTGCCGGAAATTATATTAGATTTTGAAAAAAAAAAAAGAATGTTCCATAATAAATGGAGCCCTTTACATTCAAAAACATTCCACTGACGTGATCAGACTTTAAACAAAACGAAGTTCAACTGTTAAATACCCAAAATGTTACGGTGGAGAGTTAGATCTGAATTGAAAATGTCCGAAAAGTGTCAAAATACATTCAAAAACATTCAACTGACGTGATCAGACTTTAAACAGAAATTATTGAAACAGTTAAATAGCCAGAATGTTACGGGGAGAGTCAGTTCAGAATTTTAAATGTCAGAAAAGTGTCAAAAAATGCAACAAAGAGCCACTAATGCAGTTTTGCCCTGACTCAAAACTAGTGGGCACTTTGTCCAACAACAGTCTCCTGAACCACCTGGACTATGTACCTCTATACAAAAAGTCTCCGGCTTTTTTTTTCTTCTTTTCTCCAGTCATCGACAAAGTGTTTAAAGGAAAAACACAACCAACAATTTCACATCTCGGCGACCAGGCTTTTAAAAAAAAAATACATTAGGGGTCGATTCAGAACCTTCCCCAATCAGAGAGAGAAACTCATCTTGATTAACACAAAAAACAACCACTATGGTACAGATATCAACAATTACTACAAAAACTTGCATTCGGCCTCTTCGTAATACATATGTTTTGAATATACATAATCCTCACATGCCCTTAAGCCGCATATTTCTTTGATATTTTTTATTTCCTGTTTTGAAATATCCACAGCGACAAAGGCAAAAAAATCCAGGATGACAGAAGTCAACCGGAGCGAATCGGAAATGTGAGACTTCTTCACAGCGATGGACACGCGATTTGGAGCATCTGACCGGACAATTGGCAGTACGAGTTTTCCCTTCTCCTCTGGTCCTTTCCAGATGTGTAAATGGGTAGTTAACAAAAGAAACATGCCGCTTTGAAGACAAAATACTGCATGTTCAAAAGCTGCGGTCTTCGTTTTTTCCGTTGTGCCATCTGCTGTGCTCTTGGTCTGACCAGGCAATGGGAAATGAACGCTGAAATGATAAACATTTGGCTGCTAATGATTTACAGTGTAAGTGAATGCGGTTGTTATGAGAAGCTGTATTGACGGTCAGAAAAATGAGGCTATCTTGCACACCATTTGGAAGTCCTGAGGAAATTATGGTCATGTGGACGCAGCCGAGCCAACAGGGGCAACTGAACCCACTTAAAACATTTAAAGCCAGCAGCTGTAAAGATTATGATTATAATGACCTGGATATGAGGAAGATGATGATGAAGTCTGCATAAATAAGCATTAAGATGAATGATGAATCCTTCCCTGTAATCCTCTCTTGAAGCAGGTCTTGCATCAAATGTGATGGTCTGAGGTTTAACCTCGGACACATTTTTCATTAGTCGATTAGTGATGATAGTTAGTGGTGGTGCTGATCGGTTAATGCTGCAGCACTGAAGGGAGGAGGGGGACTGAAACCCCCACAGTGGAAAGGCACAAGGGAGGAGGGGAGGGTGGGCTGATGAACTTGGAGTCAGTTGTATAGTGGAGGAGGATCTGGAGAAAGGAGGTGAGGGATGGGAGATCTGTGTGGGCTCAGGCACCAGGTTCCTCACATCCTGGACCCCCTCTCCTGAAGGATCTGTGGAGGAAACATGAAGATAATGATGAGCTCGACAATTTTTGGAAATATTTTCTCATCAGTCTGTTATATGTTCTCATCAGTCATTAATAACCCCTTTCATTTTTTTAATTAAAATATTTCATTTAATATACTTTTTTAAATATATTTAATAAATATAATATATTAATTATATTATATTTATTAATATATTTAATAAATAATAATATAATATTTGTTTTACTGCTACTACTACAAACTATAATTATTATTATTATTATTATTATTATTATCATGTTACCTTATTTAATGATTTAATGTAAACACTGTAATAAAATGTAATAATAATAATAATATATTATTTTAGTTTATATAATTTTTATAGTGTTATTATTATTACTATTCTATTTACTATTATTATTATTATTATTATTATTATTATCATTATTATTATTATTAGGGTTGCACAATTTGGGGAAAAACTTAAAGAAAATTTAATTTAAAATGCTATTTTTAAATAAATCAGGTTGTGATTATATATTATTATGGCTATAAAATATTATTATTATATCGTATCTTATTCAGTTTAAACATTT